TCGACTTCTCGAGATGCGACTGGTTTTGCTAGGATGATACCTGCTCCTCCCCCATCTTCGCAGGATGAGCAGTCGACGTATAGGGTCCAGGCTCGAGGATCTGTGGGGGGTTGTTCGCGTAGCTGCTTCCTCGGAATAGATTCTTGCGTGGTTCCCGGGGCTCTGGGCATTTCTACCAAGAAATCTGCAAACGCCTGTCCTTTGACGGCTGTACGGGGTTTGTACTCGATGTGATGTTCCCCCAACTCGACCGCCCACTTCATCATTCGACCTGATGCTTCAGGCTTGAGGAGGACTTGCTGGATGGGTTGTTCAGTTAGGACTTGTATAAGATGGGCCTGAAAGTACGGACGCAACCGTCGTGCAGCGAGCACAAGACTCAGGATAAGCTTTTCCATGGGGGTATATCGAGATTCTGCTCCTTGTAAGACTTTGCTGACGAAATAAACTGGGAGTTCCTTACTATCTTTCTTCTGGATTAGCACTGCGGAGATGGCCGTTTCCCGGGCAGCCAAATAGATGTATAGAACTTCACCCGGTTGTGGCTTTGCGAGCATAGGGAGTCGCTTGAGGTGTTCTTTTAACTCCTGAAAGGCTTTTTGACATTCATCGGTCCACTGGAAACCTTTCCCTTTTCTTAGGGTTTTGAAGAAGGGAAGGCTTCTCTCTGCTGCTCGAGATAAAAACCTGTTGAGTGCTGCTAGGGATCCTGTGAGCTTTTGTATGTCCTTGACAGTTTTTGGGGTTTCCATTGATAGGATTGCTTCAACCATTGCAGGGTCTACGCTTATCCCCTCCTTGGATACCTGAAATCCGAGGAATTTTCCAGACCCTACACAGAAGGCGCACTTTTTTGGGTTGAGTTTCATATTGATTTCGCACAGGATCGTGAAGATCTCCTTCATATCTTCGATCACTTTGCAGTCTGAGTTGCTCTTGATAACCATGTCATCCACGTATATCTCGATGTTTCTTCCTATCTGATTATGGAAGGCTCTATTAACCAGACGCTGGTAGGTAGCTCCAGCATTTTTCAGCTCAAACGGCATTTTGTCGTAACAGTATACTCCGATCTCTGTGATATAAGCAGTCTTCTCCGCATCCTCCTCGGCCATGCGAATCTGGTGGTATCCTTTATAAGCGTCGAGGAAACTGAGGGTCCTGTAGCCGGTAATACCTTCCACCATCTGGTCGATTACGGGCAAGGGGTAACAGTCTTTCGGACAGTATTTGTTGAGATCTGTGTAGTCTTGGCACATACGCCAGGAATTGTCAGGTTTGCGGACAAGGACAGGGTTGGCCAGCCAAGTTGGCCAAAGCACTTCTTTCAGGATGTTGGCTCGTACTAGTTTGAGGGTTTCCTCGTTAATTACATTATTGCGATCTCGAGCGAAGATCCTCTTCTTTTGTTTCACCGGTTTGACATTGGGGTCAACGTTTAGCTTGTGCTCGATGATGTGTCGAGGAACTCCGGTCATGTCGGATGGCGACCATGCGAAGATGTCTCGAAAAGTCCACAGTAAGGCGATTATTTCAGTCCGCAGTGTACCCTCAATGGATATCCCAAGCTTAATAGTTTTTCCTGGTTCTTTTTCATCCAAGATTAACTCTTCTGTCTTACTGGTGAGTGGCGGGTTTGTCTCAACATCCGCGCTCGAGACTTCTTTCTTTGTCTCTTTATTCTGTACTTGTGCTACGCCCTGTTGAATCGAGTAGCATCCTGTCAGAGTGACTGCCAGCTCCTGCTTTATCGCTTTCTTTCCTACTTTTACTGCCGTGAGAAGACACTCTCTGGAACTACGTTGGCAGCCTTGGACTATTCCTATCCCGTATTCAGTTGGGAACTTCATGACCAAGTGGTAAGGTGACCATACAGCTCGGGCTTGGCACATCCACGGCCGTCCTAGGATCACATTGAATGGCGAGCGAGCATCAATTATGGCAAAATCCATGGTTAGATTTACCATTCGAGGATACGTCCCTACCGTGATTGGAAGCCTGACGATCCCGCTTGGGATTATAGTGTGCCCGGAAAAGCCCATCAATGGTAGGGTAGCGGGGCGCAAGTCTGGGTTTTGTATGTTCATTCTCTTGAAACAATCACTGTAGATGATGTCAACCGTACTACCATTGTCGACGTACACGCGACTGACCCCAACGTTACCTATGATGGCCTCGATAACCATGGCATCGCTGTGGGGGCATACGTCGGGGACGACGTCGCTGTCGGTGAAGACGATCGCTTCAGTTCCTTTGAATCGTTTGTAACTTGGCTCTTGTGGTGGAGTTTTTGTTACCTGTCGAACAGAGGCTTTTAAAGCTGTGGTGGAGAGGACTTCGAGAGCGGCTCCATAGATTGCTCCCACATTGTGGGTAATCTGCTTAGCGGGATCGAGAGGAGGTATTTGCTGTATGGGCTGTGGTTGTTTGTCGAGGACCGGTTGAGCAGGATATTGTGTATTATCTCTTGGTTGCCAGCTGTTTCCTCGGTTGTCTCTCCGAGGTCCCCGATTGTTGTTTCGTCTGGGGAAATTGCGGGGACCGCCGGGTTTCTCTCGAGGGTTGCGGATATCTCCTCGAGCAGCTCCTTGCGTGTTTTGCACATACTGCTGGAATTTGCCGGATTTTACTCCCGCTTCAATTTCTCGCTTGAGCTCTCGGCAATCCTCCGTGTCATGCCCGTAATCCCTGTGGTACTCGCAGTACTGATTCGTGGACCTATTCGGGTTGTGAGTTAGTGGCTTCGGAGTTGGAAACTCGTCCTTATGGATTTGGAGTATTTCCCGTCGGGGCTTTATCAATGGAGTCAGTATCCTATCGAGCCTGGGTAGCGAGGGTTTATTCTCAGCCTGAGGTTTATATCTGTCCTTCCCTCCTCGCTCTCCGGCGATTGAGAAGGATTCCTGGGAATTTTTTAGCGTTTGTTCCCGTTGGATATAGCTTTCTACTGTGGCCCACATCTCTTGGGTGTTCATTGGTGGCTTGTTAACTTTACTCGCAGGGGGGCGGACTTCCCCCAGGGGTTGAGTCCTTGGATGAAGCTATTCCTTACGTCTCTGTCATCGAGATTGTCGATTTGGAGAGACTCACGGGTGAAGCGGCGATGGAAATCCGAAAGGCTTTCGTTTTGTCCTTGTCTTATGGAGGACAAATCTATGGACATTTTCGTGACTTGCTTGCTGAGGAAAAACCTGGTGGCTAGCTTCACCGTGAGATCCTCGAAGCTGTCAATACTTCCCTCTGGTAACTGTCCGAACCACCGCTGTGCCTGCCCGTCCAAGAATGATGGTAAAGCTTTTGCCATGAAATCCAGGGATGCATTACGAATTCTCATGACTTGCACGTATTTATTGAGGAATCGTTGAGGATTAGAATCCCCTGTGTAACAGGTGAAGTCTTTGGGAAAGTCAAAATCTTTGGGTTTCGGGCAGTCTCGAATCCTGGGGATGAAAGGACTTCTGTCAACGATCATTCCTATCATCCTACGCATCGAATCTCGAATCGAGAGATCTCGATTACTCTTGTTATCTTGACCCCGGGGAGGAGGGTCTCCTCCTCGACGGTGGCCATGTTGTGATTTCTCTCGCGTCTGCTTTGGTTCCAATCGAGAGTGGGCATTTCTTCTGGGTGGTTCCCACTCTCTCCTGGACAACTCCTCGACGCTAGGCGACTGTTGGCGATCTTGTCTAGGAGGTTGTTTCTTCTGCTTGTGCTCTTATGCAAACTGAATAATCGCCTGGTAAACCACTGGGTTTGTCTTTTTGAGTGCTTCCCAGAAAGTATCCCCGCGGGTTTCGGAACTTTCATCGGAGGAAACTTCTCGAGAGAGGGTTTCTCTACGAGTTCGATCCTCCCCTCCGTTTGTTGCTGGACACTTGCCCCTTCTGATTTCGAGGAGGTTCTGAGTTCTCTTCGCTTCTTTTTCCTTGATTAATTCCTCTATCTCTTGTTTCGTTGGGTCGGGAAGTCCTAACAAACAGCAGCGTCTGTACTCTTCGAGCATGTATTTCTTCCTCCTTTGGTTGAGGGAATTTTCATCCTTCAACTGTTTTAGTTCCGTTTCGATCTCGGCCAACCGCTGGTTTTGGTATGGATCGGGGTTTTCATGGTGACGATTCTGGGCGGTCGGTTTGACGGGAGTGGTTTCTTTTTTGTTCTGGCGATCATTCCTTTTTCGTTTCTGTCTCCATTGGAAGTGTGCCAAAGTTTCACCATCCTCGGGGCCCGCCTGTCGGCCGGTTGACGCGGCACTGGATCGGGGACTGTCGGCCCCCGCCATCTTTTTGGTCGTTGGAAGCGGCTTGAAAAGGTTTTGAAAAAAGCTTGAAGAAGCTTGGTGACACAAACCCTAGTTTCGGGTCCCACTGGACGTGCCACTTGACGATACCTGGATTTGTACCGTCGGTATAGGGTGGAACTCCAACTAGGGTTTCCTGCAAAACAGAGCCTCGGGCGTCTCCCGAGGGTAGACACTCCGAAGTTTAAGTTAGAAAAGTAGGGTTGCTTGTATGATGATATGATAGTTTAGATAGCGTACCTTTAGTATGGAATAAGGGTCCCTATTTATAGGCTTGGGAGAAATCCGATTCCTACTAGGGTTAACAATAATAGACCGCCACATCGGGAAGGCCTCGACCCCAAGGCCAAGTAGTGGGCCGGCCCAGTGATGGTGATGAATCTGGACTCGCCATGAAGTATGCAAAACTTACAAAACTTTGCTCTAATTTTTGAAGAGTATAAGCATAAATTTGGCAGAAAAATCAGGGATAGAGATTTCACAAATATTTATCAAAAGAAGGTAGACAGTGAAGATCAGAAGGAATCAACATTTTCGTCATTATGACCATCAAAGGTTATTCCGGCAATCTTAGGATTACCGCTGCGGGTTGAGTCTTGCTTCCGATTCTTAAACTTTTTATGGCTTTTTAGTCTGTTGCAGAAAATGGGTGCAAATCTCTTCTTTCCTTGGTGATTTTCACACACTCACATAGTAGTAACTCATCTAGCCAAGTCAACTTGAATGTTTTTTTTCTTATGTAACTAAGACATCAGTTTTCTAGGTGTAAATTCGAGTTTTGTAAGGTTCGATGATCGCTGTTCTTGAAAACAATCCGTGCAGTATCTTTCCACCAAGAAATATCCTTTTCGTTCTGATGAATTGTGTGCACTGCATTTTCTAGAGCTGATTCGAGCTCTCTTATCCTTTCTTCCTGTCTCACTTGTTGAAGTTCAAGCAATTTCCTTTCCAGCTCTCTTGGGTGCACCCCTTGGTGTTCTGTATTTTCCATCCCAAGCTCTTCATTTACTTCTATTAAATTTGCAACGTTGCTTTCTTCAAGTGCTGATTCTTCAATCACAATCTGTAAAATCAATACAAAATTTTCCAAAACAACTGAAAAGATTATTCATTTGTAAGTCTACATCGAAGTAAGTGCGCAAATTTAATCTTAAAGGAACTGTGCTCATTCACTGTTAAAGGACCCTTGGCAAACAAATTGTGGGACATAAAAGATACTCCTTCCCTCCTGAAATGATTGTCTAATTTGGATTTTCATTTTTAGTACAATTTATATTAGAAATGAAAATCCAAAGTCTAATTTTGGGTCAGGGGATACATGATTCTAAACAGTAATTTTGCCACTATGTGTAAAATCATTGTTCTTGATTACTATGTGTAAGCAGACGGCCATTTCATTAACAGTTCTTGAAATTGCAATAAAGTTCTAAGAACGGCAATTTGACTGTACCTCTGAGTGATTCTGGTGAGAGTAATTCAAGACAACTTCGTCATCCAAATGCAACTGAAGACTTTCCAGTTCCGCTTCGAGTTCAGCCTCAAGCTGATCCATTTCCAATTTCTTCCCTTTTCCTTTCACTCTGGTATAAGAATTCTGATAACTGGTAGAAGTGATTTCTGAGTTTGAATTCTCCTGCTCCCATGAATAAGACGGACAATCTTGGATAGACAAATGATCAGTGGGTTGATTAGGAAAGATTTGAGCCTTTGGTGTGGAGTAAGAATAGCTGATATTTGCATCGTTCCTTTGATCATTGCCCAACTCCCTGTTGAAATTCTGAATCATAGTTTCCATCCTCTGGCACAGCTCAACCAATTTGCTGATTTCATTTTTGTTTGTGGCCATAAGATACATTAGACCAATCCCAACTCCCAAGCTAAAAGAGGCCTCTTTTTTATGGTCTCCTGAAAGATATTAATCCAAATCAGTCAGCTTGAAATGTAGATAAATTCCAACAGGAAAGAGATCAAATTACAACTTTAAAAGTGAGAAATCTCCATAACAAAGTGAAATGAATGTCGAAAAAAGTTTGAACGTACTCAAAACCAATTGACAATGAATTGCGATTAAAGCAATTCATTCTGAGCGCATTATTATTATTACCTGGTAACTCTAAAGCAGAATTTGATGATGATACGGGATCATCCAAGCAATCAAATGCAATATCATGTTCTGTGTCTTCTTCGTCTAAATTGATGGTTCCATGTTTCGATCTTCTGATCTGAAACCAGCACGAAATAACCGACCAAGGCGAAAAACAGGTGGCAGTACTAGTCCTGCCGTTTTTGCCTCCCTTTTTTCGACGCCGACAAGCCTCTGTAGCTGCTGTAAAAGGGTCCATGGAATAACCACTACCCTTTTGGTACATTGTGGCAATAATGTCACGAATCATTCGGGGCACTGAATTTTTGAAGTTGGGAAATATATGAGACAAGATTTCATGCACTTCTCGTGAATCGGTAGGTATAGTACTGATAGTATATTTAACTGTTAACAGAACCAGTGTGTGTTTTCTGTTTTTGTGTCTCTGTGTGTCTGTGTGAGCATTTAAAGCCTCGATAATGACTAGTAAATGAGGTGATCCCGAAATGACAACGACAGCTTAGCCTTGGGGAGTTATCTTGATCGGTTCAAATGATTAAGAAAGTGGCGGGAAACTGTTTGAATTGAAAATGCTTGCACAATATTCAATATATTTTGTGCATTTAATTCAGCAAATATGAGAGCACATGAACCGGATAGTCCATTATTCAAATGGAATCTGTATCCAGTGCATCCGGGTATACCGTGCACCCCAAATCAAAATCAACAAAATTCGGCGGCTCTTCTTCTTCGTCAACAAATCTGACACCCCAAATCAGAATTAGAATCCACCGGAATCCACCGCCTCTTCTTCTTCGGCCTTCTCGTTCAGCAGCGCCGCTACCAGAATCGACTCCCGCGGCCGCCAGAATCGCAGGTCACCAACCAGCTCCGGCTTCGCCGCCCCGCCGAACATGCCGGTTTTAATAAGGTGAGTCATTTTTCGTGTGTGTGAGGAGTGTGTGTGTGAGGAGACAGTTAGGATCGATTAGCCGGAATTCTTAGGATTTAATTGAACACGGTCGGGGGTGGACCGCCGGAATTTACAGGGGATACACGGTGCCCCCGGATGCACCAGATAATTTGCCTTCAAATGGACATAATGCTTACTGGCACATCGATTATATAATAGAGATAATGCTTATAATTCAATCGCTTATAAACTTGCGCCACGCATTTTAAAAGACATTCTTCTTATGTTGAGACATTCAAAAAATAGCCATAGAAGCGATATTAACGCTAAGATATTCAAAACAAAAAATGAAAAATTGTCTTAGAAGCGGTACTAACGCGAGTTTGATCCCTAGTTTCCCAAATTCTCATAGCTCTATTGAGACACTGTTTTTAACATTTTCGGTTTGCGGGTTGTAACTTGTAACTAAACAATCGCATTTGTCAAACTTGTATATGAAACAAGTTTAAAATAACGTGGTTGTTTGGATGTCAACTTACATTTCATTTTGTCACTTAAAAGTGAAAAGTATTTCAAATTGAAAATTAAATGACAAATGAAAATGTTGATTGGATGTTGGTTTTGAAAAAAAGTATTTTGAACTACATTTTGAAATATTAAGTACAAGTCATCACTAAACAATTAAATAATATCAATTATAGTCATTGCAAAAAAGAACTTTTCCAAAAACAATCACTCAACAACAGAATCCTGTCAAATTTATACTGAACTATTTGTAGTTCTAAAATGATCATTACACTAACAGAAAATGTTTCAAGTTAGAATTTAAAATGTAATTCAGAAAGTTGTTTGGATGATTTTTTTTTCTATTAGATTTTATGTTTAAGAAGTAAAATGAATGAAAATGTAAAATGAATAGACAACAAACAAAGCCCAGTCTATATGAATCTCAATTGCCAACTTGTGGAAATTTAGGTGCAAGAGTAACTAATAACAAGGCAAACTGGCAATCCCAAATGTAACGTGTCAACGTCAACACAATCCAAAAAGGGAGGATTATTAAAAAAAAAATTGACGAATAGTTTTTGTTCCCCCGAAAGTTTTCCGGTTCTACCACTATTTTGCTCTTTAATTTTTTTGAATTCTACTATTCTTTGGTAGGAATAGCACTATATCCAACTGACAAGCTACAGACGAAAAAAATAACTATTACATTCAACCGCCGCAAATAAATATAATATTATTACAGGACTTCCTGCAAAAGACCCCTACAACATGAGCCGTTGGTGATGTTTCTTCTACGCACAAAGTTTACTTGCAGATGACAATAATGCAGCCCACAAAATCAGCACAGAAGCTGCCATTTTACCCGTAAGAAACCAGTGATCCACAAACATCATTAGTTGCAGGATACACATTATGCAGAAGGCTCTCGCACAGACGTAGGCAAGTTTAGATCCGGTTCGAATTCACTCAATGGAAGAAGATGGGCATCTACCATGTCCTTGGTGACATCTTCCAGGATTGGAGGATCCCACTGCAATTGAGAGTTTTTTAAAATTATCACTACTGTTACAGGACAGCCTTTGCTCTTTGCTAGCCGGCGAGAAAAGTAAAGATTGAGACCAGAAAACACACGGAAACAATGCTGATGTTACTGTTTACCTTTGGACCAAAGTCCTTGTCAACCAATCGTGCACGAACACCCTATAAATGGAAATACAAAATTATTTAAAACAAACACATAGGCAAAGAAGCATGTCGAAATCCACAATCGATAGGGAATGGTTGTAAAAACTGTACCTCACAAAAGTCATTGGAAACACGTTTTGAAATACAATTTAATGATATCCGGTACTCTCTCACTAGACACTGATCTAGAGGTTGAAATCTACCTTCTCGAACCTGCATTTAGCAAGAGAAACAAACAAGTTAAGTATCTGATTACCTACAGATAGGCAAAACTGTTTCAAGGCACAAGCATAGTTTCTAACAGCTTACAGATTGTAAAGTAACTTTTAGGCTCAAGGGTGAAGCTTCCTTTATTTTTTTTAGTGTTGCTTTGCACCAATCATCAGAACGGTCCACTGCCTCTTCTTCTCTCTAAAACATGACCAAACATATGCACCAACATTAATCAGTATCAAATACGACTCCAGTAATTGCAACCCAAATGTGTTATGCCTCAAATAAAAACAAACTAATCTCTTGTGTTAGAAGTGAATAGGACATCATCTGCACAATGAATTCAATCGGTATGACGCATCCAACAATGTAAGAAACAAAACAAAGTATTTATTGATACAATGCCTTACTCCCTTACAGAAGCTGCTTCAAAATGAGCTTTTCAAGTTCTTTCTATCAACTAAGAAAGTTTTCTAGCATCTCAAAATGGCAAAGAGGTGATAGCTCCACAATTAGGAAGAAATCCCAATACTTTATTTCGTGAATATCACATATCATGGATCTGGTGATTTAAGAGATTGCTACAAGAAAAGAACCTATTTAATTCATGCAGCGATTGTAAAGAAATTCCAAGTATAATCTAGCTTTAGTACCAATTTGTTTGACAATTTCCTTCCAAATCCACAAGCATAATCTAAAAGGAGCATATTCCTTTTTCTGTCTTTTAGACAGCCTCCTATTATTTTTGAAAATCTAATGACACTAGTTTGATGTGAGCAGCAAAGCTTACCAGAGCATCTACAATTTCCTCAACAGTATCCCGGCCAAAGCATTTATCAATTTTATCTAACCTGTGACATAAAGAGAAACGATAAGGAACATATAAGGAAATATTTATAATGTCAACATTCCACATATTTCATTAAGTTCTTCAAGTGATAATCGCAATGGGGCCTTTTAAATTTTATCACAGGATTTATAGCTCTAAACCAAAAGACAACTACAAACTGGAAATTCACAGGCAAATTCATGGGCATAACCTCCCAATGAGCAAGGGAAAAGGTGGCCTACTCAAGCCCTTCTGTGAATAATGTTTTACATACTATAAGTTCCAATCACAGACTTTGAGAAAGGACACGGCATCTCAAAACACATAATCATCCATTACATGCTATAAGGTCTAAAGGAAAAATGTCAGTATCATTCTCATAAACAGTAGAATTTCACAAATCATAGTTACATCATCCAAATTAAAGTATGGATAGCTGGATATCCCACAAAAAGACTAGCAACCAATATGGTTTATTTCTGTGAAGAACTATATTTGAATACTTGTTTTATTAACGTGGAGTCCACTATGTTTTCCACTAAATATCTTGGGACTCGAACAATAAAGACCGGTTAAACCCTTGCTTGGAAACCGAGAGATCGTACACGGGCCAAAAGAAAGTAAGATGGTAAGGGTGAATAGAAAATATTGTGAAAGATAAGAGCGAACATCTTTCCACAACTGCTCCAATCTCGAGCATTCAACAACAGAAAAAAGAAAATCCACTAAATTATATTCTTCTGAAACAATGATCCATGAACTTAAAGAAAAGTTGAGACAGTTCCCAAGTCAGAAGGACCCAAATAGAACAGTTGCAAACATTTGAGGTGGGAAAAATCAAAGAATTACTTATGAAGAATGCTCCTCCGATCTGGGTAGACAAGATCACCATATTGAGCAAGACAACTTTCAACAACAGAACGATCATCTGTTATCAATTTACCGAGACGTTCTTCAATCCAAGGAAGCCTCTGAAGAGAGAAAAATCACATAATAAATGAATTATACTCAGGCAACCGGTTCTTCAGTTAGATTGTGAAAGGATTGAAGATTACTTCTTTTAGGGAATAGTGTGTAGCAAGTCCACAAGCCATCATTTCTACGCCGTTTAGCTTGTCTCCTGTTAGAGCCAGATATTCTCCTACAAAACAAAAAAAAAAAGCTCGTGGAAATCAAATGATAGCTGAAAAAAGATATCAATCTCACCCAATTAATGGATCATGGATGTCATTCAACATTAGCATAATGAACGAATAACTCGGAGTCATGGGAAAAAAAGCTAAGTTTGCCCTGCACAAGTTATGTACGTAATCATACTAAGAAGAGTTCTTTTAAACCTTCTCCTTACAGGTGCTCCCCCATCGTATTCTACTTTACAAAATAGAATGGTGGGACAAATTAAAGCCTTGAAGAAAAGCCAGAATACACGTCTTTAATAGGAGTAGTGTAACAATAGCAAGAATAGTCCACAAAGATGTAGACCTTTTAGTTACAATTCTTTTAAGCTTTAAATTAATCTAATGTAAAACTGGATATTTAGATGCTCCGTAAACATGGTCATTGGTCAGTTAGTTGTTTTTTGGAGACTATGCTTGGAGAGGCATTTCTTACTATATCTTAAAAGTCCATGGTGAACTATTTCAGTGCAAAGTAGTAATAGCTTATCAAATTCGGAAACATGCAAACAAAATGTTTCAAATAAGAGAGACTCTCAGTATGGTTTACGAGGTTTTTACTACCAATCTACAATTGGAATAAAACTTCTTAAACATTGCTAAACACTACCGAAGAGTTACCTAAATAACCAGGAAGACGAGAGAGATAATAGGAAGCCCCTGCATCAGGATGAAAACCAATTTGAGCTTCTGGTGAAGCAAAAATCTGCAATTACAGACCAATTTTCAGATGGCAGTTTAATCTGCAATTAAATCCTGACAAATTCTATAAGCATCAATAGGTAGAGCGTATTAGAAAATGCAAGTATGAGCTTATTGCCCACCATTTATTACAATGCAGGGAAGGGAAGCACGAGTGAAGGTAATATGCTTATCCTAAGTCGATCCTAACTATATTAAGAAGGACCCCTACAGTTTTGATTATGAAAAGAACCAGCACATTGCTTCCAGTTCATGCGACTGAAATGTTGCCCATTGCAGTACTAAGAGTCTATTCAAGGTCAGAATAATAATTGATAAGGGAACAGAACAAATAAATTGTACTTGTCTGTGCAGTAAATTCAGATTGTACGCGTCTGAACAAAAAAAATTCAGATTGTGATTCTGAATACTCGAGCAGTGAAGTGCATGTCTGTGCAGGGATGATAAATACATACATTTACACACTTTAAATTTCATCATATGTATATATTATCCACCATGTGCAAATTCTTACTCCAAATCCTAGCGAGTACGATTTATTTCAATGAAGGATAGCGAAGGGGTCAAACTGAAAATCTAATAATGTGCTTTAAAGTGAAAATTAGCCTTAGAATACATATCAACTAACAAATATATAAACTTAAGCAAAAACAGCTTATACCCTTTATTATTTCAGACATCAAAATCAGAACCAATGGATCACAAAAGAGAAACTTTGTAAGAGAAAAGTTCATACAGTTTTATCCGTCACAAGACGGAACATTCCAGGGAGCGAAATACCCGCTCCACCTCCCATTGTGATGCCATCCAAAATAGCCACCTACACGGAGCAAAACATTTTAGTCAGTTAAAGAGTTTTAAGCAGCATCAGCACAAGATAGTTACGAAAAACTACATTTAAGCCTAAAATTATCTATCTAAGCCTCAAGAGCATAACTAAACACAGATGGTACAATATAAAATATACAAAAATTTCAATGTTCAAACCGTCACTCTTCACCGAACTACAACCACAGGTAATTTTTGTTCTCTTTAGTTCTTTATTGATGTCATTTAAGTGACACTTGAAACATATAGAGAACTGTTAACAGTTTCTTCAAAATTAAATTATGAAAACATTCTTCATCTAATCAGAGAGAGACAGAGAGAGAGAGAGAGAGAGAGAGAGAGAGAAGAAGAAGAAGAAGAACATAAGGCATAAACTTAGCTAGAATATAATACTCACATGAGGCTTGAGATATGTTCCCAGGAGGTAGACAAACTTATACAGAGTCTCGAATAAAACCTTACACTCATCAATCTTCCCTGCAAATATCCATAAATCAAATGATCTTCTTAATTGCATATTAAAATCAAACCACTATTCGTGGATCATATACGCACAGTTCATACAGTTCTATACACAAAAGACGCCTTAATGCCAGATTCCAGAGATTCCAGACAGTGTACAACCATAGATAACCATATTTGATCGATGTTGCCAGAAGCAGCCACCAAGTGAAAGTTTGAAATTGGAAAGAATTTGCATACGTTGTCAAAAATGTAGCCCAACTAATTTGAAAAAGTAGGTCCGCAACTATGCAACTATCAGAATGGCTGTTTTAGCCTCATGTCAATCTCTCATTCATGGACCCCAAAGTCACAGGCTAACAGAACTAAATTGCTAGTACAAGAATGACAAGCAGGCAGAATCTGTACTATCTACACGAGTAAAGACTTTAAAAACGAGAAAAAAGAATCATTTTAGTGAAAAGCAACTGATTGAATCCCCAAATTTTCCATCCATTGAACACGCACAAAAAGCACGGAGTTTCTTTCCAAAAACATTCTAGTTGTATGTGCTATAGTATGTGCTCAACCCTGGACAGGCAGAAAAAGAGTCCTTTGCTATGTGTGCTCTATAAAAAAGATTGCACTTCATCCTATGTTCAGGTAGAGCAAGCTTAAGCGCCCCTTCCCCTGAGTCCTCATTTTATTTTATGGTACCCAAAGGTGAAGAGGATATCTGTGATCAGAAAGGGCATAGTAGATTTACTTGCGCTATAAATTTCTAGTTCAACACTGGACTTGCACAGAAATAATAATCATCAATGTATCTATGAAGTGAATAAACATATAGCCATGATCTAGATATGATTTCGTAGCTTGCACAAGCTCTAGATGGACCCAGATAAGAGTAGAAACATTCTGAATTACTGTCGCTGGAAGTCTCCTGTTCAATTGTTAATGCCATTGTCAAAAATGAGATCCATATGACATCTAGAAGCCAACTGACCTTCATTTATTAACTGATGAAGCAACACAACATCTGTTCCAGCACAGAATGCCTTGCCACTACCCTTCAAAATGGTCAAATATAATGCATTACACATACTTTACTTTTCCTTCAACAATTTGATGCCAATAACTGGAGAACAGAATTTAAAAAGTTGCATAATCTTTAGTGATCCCGTAATGTTCTCACCTTCATCAGGACGAATCCAATATCTGTATTTTCTTCCCAAGACTCGTACAATTTATTCAAGCGAGACACCTAAATTGAAAAAAAAAAAAACAAACAAACAAACAGTTAAGAAAATGGGCGCAAATGATAATCAAAATTTTCAATAACCATGGAAGGGTAAGAAACCAACCATATCAGTAGTAATGGCATTAAGGGCAGATGGTCTATTGAGTATGGCTGCTCTTGCCTTTGCTCTCCCTTCTACTAAAACCTGCAGTTTAATGAATTACATCAAAATTTTCAATCGTATAACGCATACATAGTTAGCAAGTAGAAATGATGGGCATCAAAGGTAACAACAATTCCTTCACAAAATTTGCATAATTAAACGCACAAAAAAAGTAAATACACCCCAACCCAGAAAACCACATTCTAAATTAAAAAAAAAAAAATTTAATTGAAAACATACAAGAGAAGAAGAGTGACCTGTTCTTGAAGATGGTCCAGGAGAGTATAACTAGGAAGAGCATAAGCACTTCTAGTTTGATTCACCAAACAGCCATTTGGGCTCAGCAAAGCATGCTTCAATGGCTTCAGAAGTTTTAATCTCTGCATCTTCTTTTTAGTTTGGAACACCTAGTATATTGCTTGCGGCTCTTCTAGTCTGATGTTATTCGCCACCAAAGCTCCAAAATTATAGGGAAATGAAACATAAGTTGAAGAGAATCGAATTCATGTGTTTCCGGCGGCAAAAATGCCAATTACCGCGACGGCCGACGGGAAAGTAGGAAGAAGAATATAGTCGCGGCGGTGGTTGATGTTCTGTTCTGGTGAGTGAGCGACGGCGGGGTTTAAACGGGGGACAAGAAGTCGATGTGGACAAAGTTTAGAGAAATTGAACAAACAGTCCCCCGAAAATTCTGAAAGATAAAAATTCGTCACTTTTTAGTTAATATTATTTTGTTATTTTTGTAGTTTCAATTTTTTTTAATTTGATACTCCCTTCGGACCTTATTATTAGGTATTTTGATTTTTCCTAAGATTCATTTAGTATGTTTTACATTTAAAAATAAAATATTACAAATACTTTATGATAATTGGGAGAATAAAATAAATATTAAATATATTTTTAAAATTTTATTTTCAATTAGAAGAACATACTAAATGAAATTTAGAACAAATCAAAATGTCTTATAATAAGGACCGGAGGGAATATTATTTTTCTTGATATTAGGTTTTTGGAAAAATCTTGTATGTTAAAATAGAAACTTTTTAGGACAAATGGCGCAAATCTAGAAACCGATTGTAAACATTTTAAAAATCAAGCTCAATTAGGTGTAATAAATTTTATTGAGTAATTCCGTTCTACTTGTTTACATTATTAGTACAATTCAAAGGAGTAATTTTTAATTTATATTGATAATCTTATCTTGTATTTTTTATATAAAAAAAAAAAAAGAAAATATGTTGTTAGAATACTCCTTATCCCATTCTAATTCCTCCTAATATAGTTTAGCAGTGGTCATTCGTAATAAAAAACGGTGACGATGACGAAATCCGAAGGTCGAAGTTATAAGAACCATCGTCAGGCTTTGAATTTCATATCAAGTTTTGATTATTTTTTTTTTCTCTTTTATGCCTTTCTCCTTCGTTAATAGTAATATTTTTCAATTTTCACTATGCGGAAGAGAAATCTCGAGTAGAATGAATAGGGAATGGCCCTTGCTTTATGACGAGTCCATATCCACCGAGAACTATTGGACCGGCCCATCCGTTTACTATGGTCCAACCGATCTAGCAAGAGGCGGTTCCAGAACATGAAACCTAGTAGGATTTGGAATCCTTAAAGATAACTCCATGTCTCTAAATAGGAGGGATCATACCACAATACAGATACTCTATCTCTAGCACAAACTACTACTCACATACATTCTTTAAACCCTTTTCTGACTTAAGCATCGGAGCGTCTACCCTCGGAAGACCCCCGAGGCCTTCTTTTGCAGGAAACCCTAGCCGAAGTTCCACTACCAAGCCGGCAGTGTAAAACCAAGTTTCGTCAAGTGGCACGCCCAGTGGGACCTGAAAACTAGGGTTTGTGTCACGAAAACCTTTTCAGTTTTCCTAACCTTCTCCGGTGCGACTTAGGATTTCTGGAACCACACACACAATGGCCAGGGTTGAAGAGGACGCGAGTAGCATGGCATTTTTCGGTAGACGACACAGTCCAGCTGATAACACTACTCTAGCAAAATTCCAACGACGAGAGGACACGAGAAAGAACCAGGGCAAGAATGTCTGGTCCTCAGAACTTCACAACCTATCCATAGAACCCAAACAAAGCAAATCCCGCGACCGAGAAAAAGGATTTGCTTCCCCCTCGAAATACCATAGCATTCAGGAAACGCTTGGAGGATCAAAAGTTGGCCAAAATCTTGGCTGAACTCAAAAGGCTGCGGGATGACAGCGATCAAAATCAAAGGATGAAAAGATATGTTCTCGAGGAAACAAGGCGTCGCTGTCTCCTGGGAAAGCCTGACCCAACTGAACAAGAGTTAGCTGACTTGATTGACGAGAAGGAAGCCCGACGCACTTTAGCTCTTCTCGAGTAGAAACAAGGCAAGTGAAAGGTCCAGGAGGAGGGAGACTATCAAGAGTATTCAGATCGTGAAGGCTTCTTCTGATTCTCTCTTAACTGAGTATTTTCCTTCTATAAGGCAACCAACTCATCATGAATGTCAGTCTCGAAAGTTAGAGAATCACTATAGTCTTTATGTTTTTGGAAGTCTCGCCGTCGCATCTCCTCCCGAAGCTCTTTGATCTCGCTAATCAAATGTTGATTGACTCTTACATTGTGTGCCCGCATAGCATCAAGGAGATCTACTTCTAAGTTCATCACTGTTTCAATACTATGGATATCTGCACGACTTCTCATGATGTTGCTAATCATCGAGTGTAGAGGATATTCCCTCTATTGTTCCTCAGATAAAACCATACAGTGAATCCGGTGAACTGACTAGCTATCCTATTCCAAGGAGGGGTGTAAATGCTCACGTCAAATTTGGAGACAACAAAAGCGCAGTAATCACATAAATATAACGGGGGGTGAAAAGATGATTACAAATATGATTGTTCAAAATTCCTGATAACTATTACAAGAGTAGGAGTTCATACAACGTCTCGGCCAAGAAACATTCTTGGGGTTATTTTGAGATGTCTCTCCAGTGTTCCTCTGTACCCCTGAGTGGCCCGTGTCAGCCACATCTTCCTCTGAAGCCTCCTCGTAAGCATCTTCGAGTTCAATGCCCATATACTCATCTGGCACTTCAAGAATTGACTCCTTATCACTTGGGCCCTTGGACAAGACTGTAGGAGTATCACTAGGAAACATGGCGATCTCCTCAGGAGTACCTATTTTGATGAGAGCTCCACACAAAGACTCCCATAGGGGCAGTTGCTCGACGCTTAGTTTGGTGAGAACATTCAGTAGCGCCTCATACATGACCTTCTTTGGACTCTCCATCTGGAACTGTTTGAACCATTTGGCTTTGATGGGTCTGTCCTGGTTAATTATCTTAATACCTGCAACAGCTACTTTTTAGGCCCCATACTTTGTAGCAGCCATGTTAACCTCCTCGATAGCTACTGCCATCCTATAGGTGGAAAGCATTCTAAACCAGAAAGTAGCACACCATTTGTGGAGGTCGTCCCTCTAGATATGTAGATTTGCGAAAGCCTTCAACTTCTCGTTCAACTCGTCGTACTTAGCCTGCACAGAGGCTAACTCTATCTCCTTGGCTTGAGTCAGCTGTAACTTCTCCTCGAGCGCAACCTTCTCGATTAAAGCTTGGTCTCTCTCGGCTCGAGCTTGAACCAACTCTCCCTCAATTTCCTTTGGTGCATCAAGTAGGCCATCGAGGCCGTACTCATCTACACGGAATTGGGAGATCAAGAAAAATTTTACCTACTACAAGTTTATAAAAATATCTACCAACTACAGGAAAATACTTACCAACCTCATGCTGTCGGTCTCATTCAGTTGAGCTGCGAACTCTTCCAGGATGGGGCACTCAATTGTTGGAGGGTCACCAAACGTGTGGACTGCTATAGTCAGTCCTCCCTCGAACATTTGTGAGGGCAATGTGACTGCCTCTCCCTCGAGAGGGTTCTTGCCTTTGTCAGCAACAGGAGGCACACTTTGGCCCGGTTTCCATGGGTGGAACGCGGGTCTCCTCGACAGTTTGGGGCACAAATTTCTCTTGTTGTGCCATTGACTCTGTGCCTTTTTGCTTCCCTCCTTCTCTGGGCCTTTCACAATCCTCTTCTTCTTTTTCTGCAGAACAGCACCAGCAGTGGCTGAGACCTCCTCATCTAAATTTATAATAGGAAAAGGGTCTTCATTACCATAAAGTCGAGAACCAACGTTGCTTGATGACATGGCCTAAAACCAGAAACAGGAATATAAGAGATTAACCTTTTTCTTCCTCGACCGGAGTGTTAGTATCTTTTCCCTCCTCGACAAGAACAGGGGGAACGTAATACTGCACGTTACTCCATTTAACAAGCTTGGAGTACTTCAAGACTTTTATCAAATCTTCGGCGAACTCCTCGACGCTATCATCATCCTCCTTGGACCACTCGCCTTTTATCACCCCGAGACCTTTCACTTCTCACCGATTCCACACTACACAATAATTTTCCGATGCTTTCACAAAAAGGTATTCGGGCTTCCATTCAGGTGACACCATATGCCTCGACTATCTTCTTGACGCCGGGTCTCAGGCATCTCTTGATAATGTACCAATCTTGGAATGAAGTCGAGGGAACGACAACTTAGAAGAGGTATCTCCACAGAATTAGTTGGGGCTTTACCTTTACTCGTTGACATATTTTTGCGAACTCGAGAACGAAGGTTATCAAATTCGGTGTAAAACGAGCAAGGGGGTTTTATAGTGTTGGATAATCTCTTCAAACAGAGGAAAGAGGGGGAATCTTAGCCCTAGATGAATAAAGCAGTCGTATACAGTGATTCTTCCCTCAGGAGGAGAATTAGCCCTCTCGGTTCCTAATTGGGCTCTAGCTTCTAGATCTAGGGGCAGGTCATATCTCATTTTTACAGCGTTTACCTTCTCATCGGAATCTAAGGTGGAAGCAAAGTCATCGACAGTTTTTAAATCTGGGTTCCTAGCCATATCTATCACAGTATTTTAGATCTAAATTGGAACTGGAATTCAAAAGGAATTAGACAGTAAGAGTGAGTTGGAAAGACTTACTATTGGATAAGACCACTCTCCTTTTAAGTTATATCCTCCCAGGATGTTGATGCCCACTCGACGATGGAGCGTTTTAGTCCAGTCCGGTGATAGCAGCAATATCAGAGATGGCCGAAACTCAGGCAGGGGCACAATAGCAGCAATGTCGCTCCCTTTTTTTTTAGGTATTGTGAAGTTTGGAAGAGAAATGAAATATCAAAATGGATCTCTCCCAAGAGGTATATAAAGAAGACCAGTCCCTCCACGCTTCTGACGTTGGAGTGGTAATCGAGGCAGTTATGGTGGTGTTGGTCGCCATTTGGGGAACGTGCCCACTAATGAAGTGGGGTTTATTAATCTGGGCGG